TCATTGGGGTGTGTGGGGGGTATTGGTGAATTTCCTGCATTGTGCAGGGGTTGGACTAGATGACCCTGCAGGTCCCTTCCCACTCTATGATTCTATAATTCACCCAGGTTGGCTGTGGGCACGCCAGCACCTCTGTCAGGCAGAAGCGCCTGAGATCCTCCCCCTCCCCTTTTCCTTCACCCGACTTGGAGGCAAAGGGAAGGGAGAGGGGGGAAAGAATGGAACCCAGGTGCTTCTGCCTGTCAGAGGGGCTGGTGCACACGTCCGGTGATGTCAGGGTGTGTGGCATATGCTAATAAGTTATGCTAATGAGCTCCTGCAGCTCTTTTTCTACGAAATGACCTCTGGCTAGAATGTTAATAGTTGCAGCATGGAAACAAGAGAAAGTATCAGATATTGAAAAACAGCTAAAGAGAGTATGGTGTATCATGTTGATGGAGAAATAGGTGTATACAGTAAGTACTGGGACGGAAATAGAAACATGCATGAAAAGTTTGTGCAAGTCTGGTCTCCTTTCATTACTTTCTGGAACAGAAACAAAATCTAAAGAAGTAGTAAAAAAAAAAGAGAGATTGAGCCTTGTTTAGATTGTCAAATCTTATCTCACAGATATTGTACTATACGGTAGTCTCATGTATTCTGTTTTCTTTAAAAAACAACATAACATGTTTGATGGATGTCTTTTAGTATCAAATTAAGTAAACACAGTTGAGGAGTCAATTCAAAGGTAGATCCTTTTACAGTTATAGTTTCCTTATGAACCAATGCCCAGAAGTTGAAAATAATAAGGCAGTTCCACCATAACTGTATCAACTTCTCTCTTCCTTTATCACATTTCCAGTACCTGTCTGATTGGGCAGAAATTTTAGCTGAAGTAGCTGGTGTGAAATACCAGTTAAAAAAACCCCTCTCTCTCCCTCTCCCCCTCCCTCCCTCCTCCCCCCTCTCCCTCTCCCTCTCTCTCTCACACACACACAGAGAAAAAGAGAGAGAGAGAACAGTCCCATGAAGATGTATTTTAGTGGTATATTGATTGAACCCTTTATCTAAATGCTGTGACAGCATCACAGTACATACTTGTGTTCAGACATATGCCTGCCTCCAACTCGTGTTAGGTAAAGGTAAACGTTTCCCTTGCTCTAAAGCCAGTCGAGTCTGACTCTAGGGTTGCGGAGCTCATCTCCGTTTCAAAGCCGAAGAGCCAGCGCTGTCTGAAGACATTTCCGTGATCACGTGGCCGGCATGACTAAACACCAAGGCGCACGGAACGCTGTTCCCTTCCCACCGAAGTGGTACCTATTTATCTACTTGCAATTTCTTGCTTTCGAACTGCTAGGTTGGCAGGAGCTGGAACTAGAGACGGGAGCTCACTCCGTCATGCGGCACACTCGGGTCTTGAACTGTTGAACTACTGACCTTCCACAGCCTGCAGTTCAAAATCTGTGCTGTGGATCTGATTGCCACATATAACAGCTGAGAAGTATAGAGAAACTTGCCCAATGGATGGCCGGTATGTGTGTGAAGTGCCATCAAGTGACTTCCATCTTATGCCAACCCTATGAATTAATGACCTTCCAAATATCCTAGCCTTAACAGCCTTGCTCAGCTCTTGCAAACTGGGAGCAGTGGGCTTCCTTGATTGAGTTGCTCCATCACATTATTGTCTTTTCCAGGGACTCTTGTCTTCTCATGATGTGACCAAAGTATCACAGCCTCAGTTTGGTCATTTTAGCTTCTAGGGAGAATTCAGGCTTGGTTTTTTCTAGACCCACTTATTTGTCTTTTTGGAGGTCCATGGTATCCATAAAACTCTTCTCCAACACCACATTTCGAATGAATCTACTTTCTTCCTGTCATCTTTCTTCACTGTCCAACTTTCACACCTATACATAATTATGGGGAACACTATAGCTTGAATTATCTGAAACTTGGTCAGCAGTGACACATCCTTACCTTAATGAATCTCTTCTGGCTCCTTCATGGATGCCCTGTCTCAATCTCTGATCTCTTGGTTGCAGTTGCCCTTTTGGTTGATGATAGAGCCAGGGCCGGCTCACCCACTAGGCGAACTAGGCATTCGCCTAGAGTGCTGGGCCCTGGATGGGGCAGTGGGCCCTGGATGGAGTGCCGAGCTGTGCCCCCCCGCCAAAAGCCCACGAGCAGCTCTCCAAATGTCAGCACTTCGCTAATTGGGGAGAGGCATCCGGCAAGCATCCCTCACCCGGAGACAGGATCCCCCCCTCCCAAACTACCTTCAGAAGCGGAGCGCAAGAGAAATCTCTCTTCCATCTTGGAGGGCGCTGCAGGAACATGCGGGGTGCGCTCGCTGGGTCCAACAGCCGCCGGGGGTGCCAATTGTTCTCTCAGCAGTGCAGCTGGGGTATTTGGAGACACCTCTTTTTCAACGAAATGACCCCTGCCGATGTATGGAGTAACATGAGCTGACCAAGTCAGCAACTTGGCAGCTGCATTCTGGACCACCTGCAGTTTCTGAAGCATTTTCAAGGGCAGCCCGACATAGAGCAAATTGCAGTAGTTCAATCTGGAGGTTCAGTTCAGTTCAATTTTATTGCATAGGGCCAATGACCATTACAATTGGTAGAAAATAAGATACAATAAAATGCAGCATGGTAAAACTAGATTAAGACGCTATAAAAGTTACATTTCAAAGCGTATTGTATAAAAAAGGAAAACCTTTTGGAGATGTCTGTTATGTACTAGTTAAGTTCTTAATTGGGCTATGCTGGCACTAGTTTGGCTCGAATTTTCCTTGCTGCTAAGGCATAAAGGGAAACCTTATAGGAAATCTCTGGTTCCGCATCAGCAAGTAAAAATATAACTTTTTTTGTCACAGTGCTGCGGCCTAAATTGGCCAGGATTATACCTAAGAATCTCTTCCTTGGGTCTAAATAAAGTGGACAGGCCAACAAATAATGGTACAGATCTTCAGGATCTAGGCCTCCACATATGCAGAGGCGCTGAGCAACCAGTGTTTGGGTATAGTGGCCTTCAAGCATAGCTGTTTGCAGCGGTTCGAAAGCTTCAGCAAGTAGACAAAATGGGTACCACTCCTTAGAGAGGGTGGGCACACTAAACCCCCGTTGGGGAGGTGTTAGCTAGCGAATGGAATGTCCAGCTCAGAAGCCTGGAAAAAAGACCTCTTCAGCATTAAGAAGACTGTAATGGGCCAATCCGGCCAGGCGGTGGCAGTGCAGCACTACGACTCAAAGCAGCCCAGGAAGAACCAACGTCATCAAGCCAAGCCGAAATGAATGCTGTCCAGAACACGTCTGAAGCCTACAGCTGAACAAAAATCCCCATCAGCTGCAAATGTGTGCAATTTAAAGAATTATATGTTGTCCTCCCTTAACCCCCTA